GCGTATATGATTTTGTGCCAGATAAGTGGCAGAGAGACGTGTCTGAAGGCCTCTGAGAAGCAGAAGGAAGGGGCCCCTGACTAAAGATAACCGCTATTTCTTGAGCGTTTACCAGCTGAGCTAACTGCTTTATGCCCCTTCTCTGCTGCTCAAAACAACTAGGAGGTGGGGGCGGTTTTTATTCCCATTTCACAGGCAAGGTCTAGAGTGTTGAGGAACCCTCATCCCAAGTCCTGACAGCAAGCACGGGGAAAAGAAACCTCGATACACAGTCTGAGGGCAGAGCCCACCCTTTGCACGGAGGCTTCACTATCTTTTCAGAAACAGAGGCTGAGGGGCACCTGGGTGGCTCAGGTGGTTAAGCCTCTGCCTTCAGCTCAGGTCCTGATCCCAGTCGTGGGATCGAGCCCCACATTGGGCTCCTTGCTCCACGGGGAGTCTGCTTCCCCCTCTCTCTCTGCCTGCAGCTCCCTCTGCTTGTGTTTGCTCTCTCTCTGACAAATAAATAAATAAAATCTTAAAAAAAAAAAAAAGTAAAGAAAAGAAAAAAGAAATACAGGCTGGGGCTTCCCAGTAGAGGCAGCAGGCTGCTTCTTCCCAGTACTCTCTCCCGGTGGGCTGAGATACCCAAGAATTCCTCCCAGAGACCCCTCTGGAGCCAACTGCCAGGATTGGAACAGAAAGGTGGGATGCAGCCTGCTGACCAGGAGATCAGGAAACACCAGCAAAAAACCCCACTAAACCTAAGAGGGTCTTTGAAAAGCAAGACCAAGATGCACCTGGGTGTCTCAGTCGGTTAAGTGTCTGCCTTGGGCTCAGGTCATGATTTTGGGGTCCTGGGATCAAGCCCCACGGTGGTCATGGAATCCTTGCTCAGCACAGAGTCTGCTTCTTCCTCTCTCTCTCTCTGCCCTTCCCTCACTTGTGCTCTCTCTCTCTCTCTCTCTCTCTCTTTTTCCCTCTCAGATAAGTAAATAAATAAAATCTTAAAAAACAAAACAAAACAAGACCAAGTATAGTCTCCAAGAGCATGGGAATTTAGCTGGTTAGGGAGCAGAGTTTTCTGGATCAGAGGAATTGTACACCCTCTTTCAAGATGAAAAGATTCTCCATTTTACTTGTAGGTAGAAATCTCTTAAAAATGTAATATCTTGGGCCCCTGCTTCCTTAGGGTGTCCCTCAAAAAGAGGACTTTAACTTTTATGACTCAGTTGGGTTAGGAAAATAATTTGGTTATGGTGCAACTTAGTGACTTTGTTCATGCTTATTAAGGTGTATGTATTCATTGACTCCTACCCTAAATGATTCCAGACTGGTGTGGGTTTTAATACTCACATCTGTTTTTCATTTATCTCTGTTTCTTCTTTTATAAGCTGTTGTTTCTCTTTATTGATTGCTTCTAAGAGTCTCTAAGTTTTAGCTTTAGCTAGGATATCTGATAACCAAGCTTGAAAGTACCACGTGGAAAACAAGAATAATCACCTCGGAGTAAGTACTTATAAGTTAAAAGCATTACTTTTACTACATGACTTTCGTGACCTCTATTTGGTCATTTTGGCTTCTTACCCTCATTTTGCTAACTACCTGATACCTTGTTTCCTCCCTTTGCCCCAAGATCAAACAGGTTACCCACAGTCAAATCAGGTGCTTAGGGAGACACAGCTAATAAAGGTAGAATCAGAAGTAAACAGCAGAAGATAGCCTTTTGTTTGATTTTAAATTGTACTTTTGTTTGATTTCAATCTATTTGATTGTAAATTTTAAAATGCTCTGTTGGGTTGGGGCTAAGTGTTATGTTTCTGGAAGGTTCCGGTCAAGAATGCAATGGTGTGGTGCTTTCACGATTGTCTCCTAGAATCTAACTGGTAAGCTGCTGTAACTCCCTTACGGAGTTGGGGGAATAGAAGCTCAGATAAAGAAGGCTCAGAATTTGATGGTTTAATGCCATGGACGTGTGTGGGAAGATGGGATATAAAGAGACCTGGGGTCAGTCTTGATTTGTGTAAATTTTATTCCTTTGAGATGCAGTCTTCTCATGGGAGCCTTAGAAGCTGGAAAACCACGAGGCTCCCTCCTGGCCAGTTCCTCTGCTGCAGCCCCTCGGTTGGACTGGCTTCCAAGGCCCCACACCACTGTGATCCCTCGCTCTACACCAACTCACAACATACCCCATCACTGAGCCTTGCCTTTCTGGTCTCCATCTTTGATCTGTTTCTCCAAGCTCTCAGCAGGCATCCCTGCCCACTCCAGGCTCAGGGACGTGATTCTGAGGTTGAGCTTTCATTCTCTTTACTGATAGATCCTGCTACCTGTTGCTCAGAGTTTGGCCAGCTTAGGGGGCAAGAGGAGGCTGCAGCCACCGGGAGCCTGACCCTAGCGGGTCAGTAGCTGGCCTGGGTCCCGGGTTGCTTCACTCATCTGGCACAGACACCTCCGTCCTCAGAATGAGCAGCAGGTCTCTGCTCACATCTGGAAAAGTTCAAAACTGTTTGTCTGGGTGAAGGAGGCCCTGGGGGAGGGGATTCAAAAGCATGACATCACCTCAGTCAGACCTACCCTAAGCCAGATAGGATTCCCAGGAATTGATGTGTTGGAAGGAAGAAGAGGAAAGGGTGGGAAGGAAGGATGATGTCAAGGGGGAGTTCCAGCGGAGCCTTGGAGTGGTACCCGGGGAGGACGATCCTTCGGTTCAGTGACCACGTGTTCCCACCCCGTGCCCCCTTCAGTGAGTTCATACCTTAGGGGCAGATTGCTAAACAGGTCCTATCTAAGGGCAGGGGAAGACTGGATCTGCTTCCCCAAGTATTTTATCTTGATTAGCCCACTTTCCACCTGACCCGATAGGAGCCCATTCTTTTCCGTCTGGAAGGGCGGGGAGGATGTATCCTGATTCTTAGCAGTTTAGACTCCCTGACCCTCTTGCTCCTTCCACTCAAGTGTCCGCTAAACCTCAGAGGCCCCATTGCTCTCTGCCCCACGTAAACTATGGCTTCCCCTCTTGGCCAAAACCTTGGTGTTTCAGGTCCTTATCTCTAACATGGAGATGGTAATATCACTTCTTCCTGCTTACCTGCACATAGTATTAAGATATGATTACTGTCCTCACCATTCATAGCAATCTACTTGTAGCAGGTGGGGAGGGAAGCAGACGTGGGAGCGTGAGACTGCTCACCATTTTTAAGGGCAGCATTCTTGGTCCCAAGTGAATTGCAATGAAACAAAACCCTAATTTCCCTCTGGATGCTGAGGGAAAGAAGAAGCGTCATTCTACATTGCTATTTACCTGGAAACCCCCCCAAATACAGACCTAGATCTCAATCAGAAAAATTTAAAAATAAGCTTTGGGTGGCCTGGGATCCTCAGGCGTCTTTCCTTAAGGGTCGTGCTGCTGGACGCTGACCTCTGGGTACCAAGTCCATCCCCAACGTTCCTAGAGCCCAAACCAAGAGTAGAATAGAGGCCCTCAGTCATATCTAAGTACTCCCAAGTTATCAGTTAGCTTATAAATGAAATATCTTCTAGCCCCTTACCTCGAAAAACATACCTTCATGGCCTTCTGGAAGGCCAACTTTGAATTTGGGACCCTGTCAGTCTCTGAATTCAAGGCCACAGTGTGGCTGAGCAGGAAGAGATGGCCTTTGGCCCCAGCATGTCCTTCTGGCCTTTCCCCCCACAAATCTGGCACACATTGTGGGGGATCTTGCATGCAAGTGACGCACACATCACCCACATGCTTCACGTGTCCCCCTTCTTCCTGAAACAGCCGCCTCTTGGCCACCCTCATGCCTTGGAGGTGCGTTCACCCTCAGAAGGACAGACTGGGAGAAAAGGCCCCATGAAGATCCTCAAGTGGGCAAAGAGCCATTTGGGCAAGACGTTCTAGGAGTTCTGGTCCCCATCGTATGACCTAGAAGAGAGGGTATATCTCTGTTGGGTCCCTGGACTCCTCACGGTTCGGGGCAGGGCAGTAGGAGGAGGAACAAAATATAGACTTTAAAGCTCAGGGTCCAGTCAGGAGGGTTTTCCTCCCTGGGTGTAAGGATGGCACTGGGAGGTGCCCCAGGAAACACGGAAGGGCAAGGACCCTCAGAAAGATCTTCAGAGAATAATTAAATCCAGGAACAGTATGCTATACCAATTCAACATTTGTCGTTAATTTTCCCAACAATCCATGGAGGGAAAGACACTTACTCTTGAGATGGGTAAACTGAGACACACACACAGACACACAGGCACATGCATTAAGCTACGTGGTTACTGGCAGAGCCAGAACTACGCTTTCTTCCCACCCCATTTGATGGGCAACCAGGCCTTATGTTCTCTAATCCATCCACTATCAGATTCCTAGGTCAGAGCTTCTTGAAAGAAATCTTGGGGCCAGGGGGGTGGCCTACTGAGTTCCTCAACAAAAGACAAGGAGGGGATGGGTTTGCAGACCTTAGGGAAAGAATGGAGGGAGTTTGGGAGTGGGAAAGCCTTAGACAGAAAATTTTTAAGGGGGTTGCCTAAAGATGGCATGACTCTAGTGATTATGCCAAGACTGTATTACTCAAGGGGATAGAGAGTGACAGAAGAGAGGAAGACCCATTAAAAAGGAAATAAAGGTACTTCCTCTCCTATAGTTTAGATCTCTGTGATATTTATTCAGATAGAATTTGATATTTTTATATTTTATCTAACATGTTACAAACATTGCCTTGTATTCTCATGTGGCTTTAGTTTTTTTTCCCACAATTTTTTATTTGTAATGATTATGGTATGTGAAATGCATCTAGTATTTATCCTTTTGTAATTCATTTAGTTGCTTTCCACTTTTCCCTCCTATAAATAGTACCATATTAGACACTTGGTGCATGCAAGCTTTTCCGTCCTTATTTTCCTAGGGAAAATCTAGTAGTGAGAAGTTAGTCACCTGTCCAGAAGGATATTCTTGATGTCATGATGGCATGAGGCTCCAGGATGATTTTAGGTTCTGACTTGTCCTCCTTGTTTCTTTATAGCCTCTGGGTTCACAACTATGGAAAACATAACTTCTATTACCACAAATTCAACCTCCCAAGAATTAACTTCAGCTGTTTCTGCAAATGTATCCAACCAGGAAACCACCACACAAAGTCTTCTTGGAAGTACCACCCTGCTCTCTGTCTCTCGGGACACCAGTGGGACCACAACAGCCATCTCAGGTAAAGTGCTTGTCTCAGGCCCCAGAGGGATGCTGCTGGTGCCTGGGTAAAGCATTAGGATATTGGTAGAGCACCACCAGGCCTGCTTTCACCCACAGATGGAAATATACAAGCCCCATGAAATACGATTTGTGCATCATGCTTAAGGGACCCTGAAGTAAGTTCCTGATGATTCTCCTATAGTGACAGCTTGCTCTCAGGCAGCTTTGGCAGCTAATCCTGATCAGTCATTCACCTTGTACTCTGCTCTCGTGCTGAGTTCAGGTTAGTGATGAAATAAGGATCAGATGAGGACTTCCTAGAAATCTCTAATCTCTTCAGGTTCAAAGTGCTTTTTGACTTCTTTAGGGTAGATCAGAATCCAGTTCAATGTTAGAATCCCAAAAGAATCTCTAGTAATATTCTCAATTATAGCTGTGGTTCCAACAGCTGGCTTGAAATCAGTTTGGTAAGGGTTAGGACATGAAGTAGCTCTTAACTTCCCAAATTCCCTTTTCTAGGAAGTCCATGCCAGTATCATTCTCTATAAGGTTTTAATTCAAGATGGTGAACTGAGATGTGTGTAGGGGTGTGTGTGTGTGTGTTTATGCAAACATGTGCACATGTACACTTGTGTTTTTGTCTATTTCAGAGACTACAGTCAACATCACATCTACCTCTGAGATCATCCCAGTGTCTGGGACCATGAACTCTACCATCCAGTCACAGACCTCTTTAGCTATCACAGTAACTTCTATCCCCACCAACTTTTCAACTTCAGCTATGACCTTGCAGTCCAGACTCCCACCTGGAAATGTTTCGGATCCTCCATACAATAGCACCAGCCTTGTGACATCCCCCACTGAATACTATACATCCTTTTCTCTTACCCTAAGTATCATCAAGGTGGGTGAATTGGGCCAAAAGTGGCAGATTGCCCCCTCACTTCATATTTATGCAGACCCTCTCTTCTTGTCAACCTCTTTTCATCCCAACCAGTGAGATTTGGTTCATGTACCAATTAATAAGGAAAATATGCAGCTTAGGGTCGCCTGGGTGGCTTGGTGAGTTAAGCATCCAACTCTTGATTTTGGGTCAGGTCATGACCTTGGGACTGTGGGATCGACCCCCATGTTGGGCTCTGTGTTCAGCAAGGAGTTGACTGGAGATTCTCTCTCTCTCCCTCTCCGTCTGCCCCTCCCCCTCCTCAATGCTCTCTTTCTGTCTCTCTAAATATATATATATATATATATATTTTTTTTTTTTTTAAAGAAGATAGGCATCTTAAATATTCCTGGAAAGGATAGACAGGGAAGAGAGGAGTAGAGACAGGTAGCTGATCTATACTGTGGGTGTTGCATCTCTAGGGAGTAGAAAGTCGGGGGGGATTCTTGGAGGTCTGCTGTGGTTCTTGCTCATACCCTTGGTCTGGGCTTTGACCAGGGCACCATCTCCCTTTGGGCATATTTGGAAACCATATTCCATTTAATGGGGTGACTTTTCCAAAAATGTTTAGGACAACTACCATTTCCTGCATGTGAGAGGGTTTGACAGTATGCCAGGAATAGAGAAGCCGTGAAGAACTGGGCAGACCAGGGATGATGAGCTCAGTGTTGGGGTCCGTGGTTGTCAACAGCTTTCAGTGGGAAGGGGAGAAAACATGGGGGCGTGGAGCCTGAAGGCAGGCATGAGGAACCTGTCTGGGTTTCTGTTTTTAAAGGAACCAGATGAGGAATCTGGAGAGTCCTAGGGGCCAAGAGGAAAAAGAATGTCACCAGGTTCTGCCTGGCCACCCCATTATCTGTTTGCTTACATGGCCTTACTTGCAAGTATATAATCCATTGCAGGGAAAACAGCCCCAGTGGGAAAAGTTCTTCCCCTCTTCCTTTTCTGTACCATCCAAGCTAATGTTTACCAAGACTGCAAATAGCTACTTGCTGGCAAGCCTGGGCTAGTAACACAAGTTTTGACTCTCTGATGGGGATAGGAGTGAGACAGAGGAAGGGAGGAACACCATTATATAGCTCTAGTCCCCTAACATCTTTAAATTTCCTTTTTCCTAAAACCCCTTAAAAGAGTACCTCACAGAAATTAAACTGGAAAAGAGGTAGGGGGAGGGAGAATGGGGGGCAAAGATACTGGCTTATTTACTTTGTTTTTGTTTTAATACAGGGAGAAATCAAATGTTCCCAAGTCAAGGAAGTGAAATTGACCCAAGGTATCTGCCTAGAGCTAAATGAGACCTCCAGCTGTGTAAGTCAAACCCCCCTCCATCTTACCTCTATCCTTTCCTCCTCCCTCTTCTTCCACAATCCTTTCTGAACATCCTTAAGCCATCTTGGACTGGATGAGACTTTGGTGGGATGGGGAGAATTTAGCTTGGTCAGGCACTTTTCAACACTGAGCTTTGGGTTTAGGGAGTAAGAGGCCCCCTCTGGTGGGCAAAGAAGGCAAAAACAATTTTATTTAAATTTAGTTAACTTTTTCCCTCCTCTTAAGTACATTGAATACGTACATTGTCAGATTTAAGTTTACTTTTGTGTTAGGAAAGTCGTTAGTGAAACATAAACCAGTAACTTAAAATACCATTTTATTACTATAATTGACAAATAATTTTTTAATCAATATAGAATGTCTTTATGCTGTAATGCTGTATTTTCTATGTAACTGATTTTCCTAACGTTTATTGAATGATCCCCTCCATTGTTGATTGGAATGCTGGTTTGTTTTCTTTTTTTTTTTAAGCTTCTATTAAGTTTTTATATGTACCAGGGCATATTCTTCAGAGATATTTTATTTGTTTGATTTGTCTTTTTTGCCTATTTAAATTTTTAAAAATTATCGTCCTTTTACATTATAGTACTTTTAATATCCATCTAGGCAGTCGTTGCTCACTACACTTTAAATAAAAATGTATTTTTTGTCTATTCTTTTAGAAAAACTTCAGAAACATCTTGTCAAAATTTAAAAAAAAATTTTTTCATTGGAGCCACTATAAATCCCTCTGTATTTTTCTGGTCTATTGTTCAGCATATTGACTTTTTAGTTTTTAAAAACTAAAAGCTATGTTTTTTCCCTGTAGGTTTTATGAACTTTATAAAGTTATCTATAATATAGATTCCCCATTAACTATTCTAATTGATCACTGGTGGTATATTAGAAAGTTGAGTTCTGACATTTATCTTGGGTTTAGCCATTTTCTTTAACTTACTTGTTACTTAAAGAGCTTTCTAGTTGATTCATTTTGTTTGTAAGGCCAGCTGTCATGTTACCTACCACTGTACATTGTTTTTCTCCTCCCTCTTAGTAGTTACACTTTGTTTCAGTTTCATGTCTTATTGCATTGGTAAGACTATACAGTACACATTAACTTTTAATGGTGATAGCAGATGTCCTTGCTTTGTTTCAGTAATCTTTCCTGACAGTTACAATTTCCTCAAGGAAGAATGGAATGACAGGACTCTTCCTATTAACTTGTAGGAAAAAACATTTCCTTACTGGTTGGGAATCCACTTAAGGGAGCCATGTATGTGCTGTGTGATTTCATAGATTGGAAACGACCTGGGTGGACTGTAGTCTGTAGAAAACATTTGGTTAGTTATTTTGTCCATTCTGACTACCCCTGTTTTACCTGTGATTATCAGTTGGGTCATTCTGACTCACAGATCTTTTAAAATTATACCTAAGGTCTTTATTTAGCCTAGGACTTTTAAAAACAATGGGAATTGCAAAGACACACGTTCACACAATAGACTAACAAGTGCAATTTGTAAAATAGTGAACTTAAACATGAATGTACAATGTACAGGTAATACTCTGTTTCTGATACTGATTTTCAACTCTACTTATTTTTTTAAAATTGCCAAATCCTTTGTGTGTGTGTGTGTGTGTGTGTGTGTGTGTAATGTCCTGGTTAAGCACTTATTTTCCTATGCCAGAATGCTGCTTCTTTGTGCCACTGATTTAGAACTAATTGCTGAGCATTCTAAGCATCTGTCCATTGCTCTTTTTTTTTTCTTTTTAAGATTTATTTATTTATTTATTTATTTAACAGACAGAGTTCACAAGCAGGCAGAGAGGCAGGCGGGGGGGGCGGGGGGGAAGCAGGCTCCCTGCCGAGCAGAAAGCCTGATTCGGGGCTCCATCCCAGGACGCTGGGATCATGACCTGAGCCGAAATCAGAGGCTTTAACCCACTGAGCCACCCAGGCGCCCCTGTCCATTGCTCTTTGAGGTTCACATTTAACTAGGGTCATCATTCAAGACAAGTGCCGGAAACTTATTGCTACTCCAGAAACAACCCCTCTTACTGTGCCGTGGTTGCTTTCTCTCTGTATTCTTTACTGTCTCGTCTATTCAGGCCACAGCTGAGAAGGTCTCTGCTCCCTTCTGAGATCTGGGGAGGTTCTGTGTAGGGATGAGGAAAGGCAGCAAGCCCTCTGGCATCCTGAGGAAGGCTTCTGAGCCGCTCATGATGAATGAGCTCTACGGTAGCACCCGATCTTACTACCGGTTCCCTGGTCCCTTTGCCACTGCTGGTCCCCCTTTCTTCCTGAGGGCTCCTCTGCCCCAGCCCCTAAGCAGCAGTACCTCCTAAGCTCCCCAAGGTAACTTTTCCCCAGTCAGCAATCCTTGCTCAGAATCTTGGGCCAAAGATCCCGACTGTGTTTCAGATTCCTTTTCCTTGAGTCCCAGTGTGCGCTTGTCTATGATCAGTCTGTTCTGGGGGCTGTGAGCAGCATGGTGCCTGCTCCTTTTCCTTGGGTTGCATTTGTACTCTTAGCATCAGAGGGCCTCAAGGCACTGGTTCTAACCATGGGAAACTCAAGTCCTAGTCGCAGCCTAATGAGAAGCATGAAGGACTTGAATTCCCATAGCATCATGTCCTTGAGTACTTGGGTCATGTTGGCTGCTCCTGCATCAGGGGTAGTGTTGCCCATGACAGAACTACGGATGCCTGTTCTCAGCCCTCCAGACGCTCGCTCTGCACTGGGCCTCATGGAGGATCCGACCTGGCAGTGCTCACTGTGTGTATCAGACAGGCCTATCTTCTGTCCGTGTGTCTGCAGACACTTATTTCTCAGCCACTCTCCTTTTGCTCCCCAGCCTCACCTTTAGACAGAAATCACCTCTACCAGCTGGGGGAGGGAAGGCAACCCCACGCTCTTCTCAAGCACCTGCTACCCCATCTTCAGGTCCTCATTAGCAGCCCCTATCACTCCGAGTCTGACTTTCATTCTCTCTGCCATGGCGCCAGGGCAATTTAGTTTTTGTGGTTATGGTTTCCCAAATACTTACCAAAGTGTGAGATGACTTTGTTCTTAGACTATACCCGTTTATCTAGGGGGAATCCACCAAGAAAATTTTTAGTGGTGGCAAAGTACACATAACATAAAACATACCACCTTACCCATTCGTAAGTCCACATACTGTTCAGTGGTATTAGGTGGTATTAAGAACATTCACATTGTTGTGCCATCTCCAGAACTCTTCATCATCCAGAGCTGAAACTCTACACACATGAAACCATTTCCCATCCCCCCACCTCCTAGGTCCTGGCCACCATCATTCTACTTTCCATCTCTATGAATTTGATGACTCTGGGTACTTCACGAGAGGGGAGTCATACAGCTTTTATATTTTTGTGACTGGCCTTTCTCACTTAGCATCATCTCCTCAAGTGTCAGAATTTCTTCCCTTTCAAGGCTGAATAATATTCCATTGTTCGTATAGACCACATTTTGTGGATCCTTGCATCTACCAAAGAATTCTGAGATTGCTTCCACCTTTTACCAAGGTGAATAATGCTGTTGTGGACGTGGGTGTACAAATATCTCTTTAACACTCTGATTTCGTTTCTTTTGGGTAGATACTCGGAAGTAGAATTGCTGCATTATATGGTAAATCTATTTTTAAGTCTTCTAAGACTCTCCATACTGTTTTCCACAGCAGCTGCACTGTTTTGCATTCCCACCAACAGAGCACCAGAGTTCCAATATGTCCACATCCTCACCAACATTTATCGTGTTTTTTTATACAGTAACCATCCCAATGAGCAGGAGCTGGTATCTCCTTGGGATTTTGATGGGCATTTCCTGATGATTGGTGATGCTGAACATCTTTCCATGTGCTTACTGGCCATTTGCATATCCTCTTTGGCGAAATCTCTATGCAAGCCATTTGCCCAGGAATTTGTTTTTGAGAACTACCTTTCTTTCTTCCAAGCCACATGTGTTTCTATGCCGAGGCTGTACCTACTCAGCCAGCTCACATCACCCTTATTCTGTCACATTGACTCCATCGAAGGCAGTTTGCTTCCAGCCTCCAGATCATCTCCCCCAGCCCACGCCTTCCTTGCCCTCTGCCCAAACACTAAAGGTCAGTTTCCATGCAGAAAAAAATAACTTACAGATGGAGGACAGATGAAGCCTGTGTGTGTGTGTGTGTGTGTGTGTGTCTTTTTTTTAAAGAATTTTATAGGGTTTTTTTTTTAATTTATTTATTTGACAGAGAGTGAGAGAGCAGAAGCAGGCAGAGTAGCAGAGGGAGAAAGAGATGCAGGCTCCCCACTGAGCAGGGAACCCGATGTGGGGCTCAGTCTCAGGACCCTGGGATCATGACCCTAGCCAAAGGCAGTTCCTTAACCAAATGAGACACCCAGGCGCCCCGACAGTGTGTCTCTTGCAGAGAGCCTGAGATCTAGAGACAGCCTAACTCCTTGCCCTTGGCCCGCTGCCCCCTTGTGTGACTTGTAGCAGGACCTTCATTCTAGTCTCTAAAAGAAAACAAGGTTTTGCCTCCAATGTCAAACTCACACCTGAATAAAGTGGGAGAGAGAGAGAGAGAGAGAATGAGAATTGATTCTAAAATCTCAGAACTGGGAAAAACCTTAAGGCTCATTTAGAAAAATACCTGTCCCTCTCCTCCCCACTCCAGTGCTTAACATGCTTCTTTAACATATTAGAAGTCTTGGCAGAGTTTGAGGATATGCTACCCAGGAAAGGTTAGATGGCTTTATTATTGTCCATATTATTTTTGCAGAGTACCATGTGTGAGCAGATGTGGCTAGGGGCTCACAAATCTGATTCTCATGAGCAAAATGGCAAAGGCTGTGGCTTCCTCCTGCCCACTCTCCCATGATACCTGCCCACAGCCTCTCTGGGGGGAGGATGTTTATTTCAAGCTTCCGGAGAAGCATTGTGCTTTGTTCAGGATCCACCTGCTCCTCTCCGGGCCCCGACACAATCCACTGATGCCGCTGGACTCCAAAGTGGGAGGCCGGCCGCTGTTATTCCCTTGAATTTAGTCCAAGAAACTAAGCAAAGGGTGGAGGGACCCTGTGTGGAGGCCAAACCAGTTGGGACCTTAAGTTGAACAACAATTCAGTGAGTTCTTTTGTTTGCTTGGTGCTATGCTTAGGGCAGCCTGGGTTCAAAATGATGGAATTATGTAATGTACACCCACTCCCCCAATTAAGGAGCCTTACAGTCTAGCCAGAGTGAAATGACTCTGACGGTAAGGCAGAATAAAATCAAACCTCAAAGTGTGGATTCTGGGGGCTAGGGTGTGCATAGTGTTGCTGTAATGAATAGTAACCGTACTATGAGGTTTGTCCAGTGCCCCCTTAGGTTCTACACACTTTGTGCACTGCTCTTGCTACAACATCTCCTTGGTCACAACTCAGTCTTCAGCTGAGGAAACTCACACTCAGACTAGTTGCATGACTTGCAAAGAACCTAGTCAACAGCACAGGCAAGGCTGATGCTCAGTCTACGCAAGATAGGACCACTTCATGGAGGAGGTGGGAGTCTTGAAAGATGGGGAATCCAAAGGAGAAGGCGGTGTCCTTCCATCTTCTCATAGCCAAGGTTGTGAAGGTCACAGGCTCTCACACACTTGGGCTTCCCATGTGGTACCCCACCCCGCACCGCGCCATCCGAAGGCCTGTCCCTACCAGCTTCTCCAGCACAGTTTCCCCATTCTCCAAGGCTTACTTTGTCACATTTCTGCTAACCCCAGACCTGACGTGTGCTCACCCTCCTCTGAATGTCCAAGCACTTTAGCCGTCCCTTTGTTGTGGTGCCTACCATGGAACTAGCTCTGTCACCTGTCTCTTTGTGCCTCAGTTTCTTCATCTGTCAAACAGGGAGGATGATAACACCCGTCGCAGAGGGTTATGCAAAGCCTAAGTGAGTCAGTACATGTAAAGCACTCAGAGCAGTGCCGGAGACGTAGTAAGCGTCATGTATGTTCACAGCCCAGGCACGCAGACTGAGAGCCCCGACCCTGGGGAGTTCATAGCTGCCCTCCCCCCACCACCACCCAACCACACACTGGATACATGTGCAGAGATTTTCGCACAGCGTCTCACAATCCAGACTTCCCAAGTGTCAGAAGAGGTGACTATGGTTGAGGTGCATCTTCTTAAGATTCTGTGGTTTGAGGAAGTTTGTGCCATTTTGTGTGGCTTTGTCTAGATTGTGCAGGAGCCCTTGTCCCTCTGCCTCTCTCAGGCAGGAGACGTACCTCAACCAGAGACTCCAGAAGCCCGGAGTCACCCAGGGCAGGACTTCCGTCCTTCTCATCCAGAAGGCATGGTTGGGGAGGGTGTGGTGCTCACAGGGGAGCAACAGAAGGCTCCCCGAAGAGAAAGGGGCCTAGAGAAGAAGGAGACCGCTGACCACATCCAACCGAGTCCAGACTGCCCACGGTAAATGCTCTTTGTAAGAACCAGATTTTTCCAGAAACAGAGCCTCTATCCAAGTATTTCCTGAAAGACCTTTGCCTCAGGGGTGAAACAGTAGTGGCCGGAGAATTCATTTTTCTGTGACCTTGGCTCTTGAGGGCCTCCTGAGGCTTCCTCTGGACTCCTCTCTCTGAGACCTGGAGGTGAGCTGGCGCCGCTCATCCGAGCCCAGGGAGCTCCTTCTCGACTCCCTTAATTCCCGCTGAGGGAAGAAAGCTGGGGCCTCGATCCAATCCCGACTTTGCCTTGGGCAGGAGCAAAGGAGCCTGGGTTTTCCTGCCGCGGGCCGCCGCGCTAGGAAAATACCCAGGCTGCCTTCCAAGCCGGGAGGGCCCCAAGGCGCGGCGCGGCCCCACAAACAGGAAGCGCGCCCCTCCGCGGAGGCTCGGCGCGGACGCCGCTCACACGCGCGCGCAGCTTTCCGCGAACAGGAAAGCTGCCGGAGCTGCTCAGGCATTTCCTCCTCGCCATCTGCCTTCCGGGCGGAGCAGAGAGTCTTGGTTTCGGTTCCCTTCCTGTGGGGGGCGGGGTGGGGGGCGCCCTGACGGAGGCTGCTGGACCCCCCCCCGGGGCCGAGCGGGAACAGGGAGTTGGAAGGGCACAGCCAGTGTTTGCGATTCATCCCCGTCCCGGGACTCAGCTGCCCGAGAATCATGAGGATGTGTCTTCAGGGGGCTGGGTTCCTGGGTCCGAGAGTCAAACCCGCCACCCGGAGAAATCTGTGAACCTCATGGACAACAGGCTCCATGCCGCTAATGAGGAAAAGCGGGGGGTGGAAAAACTCCGTTTCAGTCTGACTCAGGCTCTCGGCGAGGCCCCTGGCGGGTAGGAGGGAAGGGCCCGCGGATGCCACTGACCCTGTAGCCAGAGATTTGTACTCCCTCACTTCCCTGGGGTTTTCCTCCAACATTTGGGGCTGTTGTATCCTTGAAACAAACGATTTTTCTCTTCGTCAGTAACACCCTGTTCCTATTTTCTGGTATTGGCAATTTCTTCTGAATTTAATTGGAAATACTGTATGTGTGCAGGGACGGTCCTTAATAATGTTCCCTGAACTCGTCCCCGGCCCCCTTACAGTGCCACCTGCGACACTGAGTCATAGATGTTTTGGTACTGCGAAATTCTGGAGGTTTTTTTCTGATTAGATTCTTCCACGTGTACAGTTCACAGGATTTTTTTTTTTTTAGTTATAATTGTAGGGGGAAGAAAGGGTCCTTCCTATTTAGAGAGTAACAGTGTGACTTTAATCAGGATTGTTGCCTGACACTCAGATGCAGTTCGGGGTACGTGGGTAACTTCATCTTCTGGTTGCCATTTCTCTCTGTCTTCCCAGGAGGACTTCAAGAAGGACTATGAAGAGAAACTGACCCAAGTGCTATGTGAGAAGGAGCAGGCTGAGGCTGGGGCCGGGGTGTGCTCCTTGCTCCTGGCCCAGTCTGAGGTGAGCCCTCACTGCCTGCTGCTGGTCTTGGCCAACAGAATAGGTAAGGGGTGCCTCTGTCTTGGGGTCTAGGGGGGGAGTGGGGCTGAAGTTCGAGGTTCCTGAATAGAAATCTAGTATTTGAGCTTAAAGAGCACAGGTGCTAGGGAGAGGAGCTAACTATGGAAGAGGCTCTCCTGAGATGGACCATCCTGGCCATCAGACCGTCGTCTAGGACATCCCAGGAGGGCACAGCTCTTCCAGCTTCTAGATTCAGCAGCCCTTGTTTCTAATTCTAGAACGTTCCAGTAAGTTCCAGCTTCTGCAGAAGCACCAGACTGACCTGGAAAAGGTAAGTTCTCTAAGATGATGGGAATTATCAGGGAGAACTGGGTCAGGGGAATTCAGTCAAGTAGGGGAGAAACCAATTCCCTTTTCTAGATCCGTCTTTCCTATCTCTCCATCCTTCCCTGGCAGTCTTTACCTTTCTGTGCCTGAACCAAAATTTTACGGTGCAGCTTGATCAAGAGATGTCAGTCTTAAATCCTGTTTCGAAAAATCCCTGAGGTCAAAGTCTTGTGTTTCTCTACTCTTTGGTCTAGCGTGGGCTCCAGAACTCACATCCCACATGGGACGGCCTGTCTTTTCTGTGTCTTCCCTTCCAGCTGGGGATCCGTGGCTTCACCGAACAAGATGTTGGGAGCCACCAGAGCTATTCCCGCAAGACCCTGATTGCACTGGTCACCTCAGGGATCCTGCTGGCTATCTTGGGAACCACTGGCTATTTCCTGATGAACCGCCGTAGCTGGAGCCCCGCAGGAGAAAGGCTGGTCAGTTTGCGGGTCCAGGGCGAAGAAAATGAGGAAGATAGTGGCCTTCTGGGGCAGTCCACAAATGTCATGAAGTGGGGGGAGGAGAAATCCCAGTAAAAGTACTTCTGTGCCCTCACGTGTGGATGTGCATTCACGCACATTACCGTGTCAGTGGATGAGGTTGAGTGATATGGAACAGATTAGGGAGGGGGCCCTAGGGGGGTCAGCCCACCTGCTCACTGGGGCAGTGGAGGGCTCCTGTCACCTGTTTCTGATTTTGCCTGGCATAGTTTAGCTGGGTATGACCAGAACAGGCTGCTAAATCAGCCACACTTATTTGCATGCATATTAAGTGCCCATGGGTCCCATCCAGCTCACAAGAAGGGGACACAGAGTAGGAAAATCTACTCTTGAAGTGTTCTGGACGAGGGAGACAAGGCTGAGATTTGACTCTTGGCCTCAGCCTGCTCCCTACTCTGGGGAGGTTATCCCGTCCTGGGGACTGCCTGGTTGCTGGCGGGAGCTGGTGATTGAGTCGTGGTGGCACGGTGTGGTGCCTCTCCTCTGTCCTTTCTCCTCTAGGAGCTGGAACCCTGACTGCTCTTCAGGAAGGAAGGAGTCTGCACATGCAGCTGCAACCCCCCCTCTGTCCCTTCCCCTACCTTCATCCCCACCTCACTCCCCTGCTTACCAGATAATGCTCCTTTATTTATACACTGTCTAGGGCGAAGACCCTTATTACACGGAGAACGGTGGAGGCCAGGGCTATAGCTCAGGCCCTGGGTCCTCCCCTGAGTCTCAGGGAAAGGCCAGTGTGAACCGAGGGGCTCAGGAGAACGGGACCGGCCAGGCCACATCCAGAAACGGCCATTCAGCAAGACAACACATGGTGGCTGACACGGAATTGTGACTCGGCTGGGTGGGGTGAGGCTGGGCAGGGTCTGGGGAAGGAGCCCCTCCCTGCACCTGACAACAGGCTGCCTCGATGCTGGAGCTACCATCCCTTACATTCTACCCTTTCCTGTCGCACACACCCTTGGAGGCCATTCCTGGGGCCCTGCACTGCACCAAGCTGAGGGGTTCTTTCCCCCTGGGGGACCGGGAGGTGACGCCTGCCTTTTCCACGTTCAGCTCGCTAAGCCTAAAATTTGGTCTACTTTGAGCAAAGGTGTGAGGGGGAAATTCCAAAGTGCAGAGAAGCTCCCAGGGTTGGGGGGAGGAGGGGACGATCTTGCATTGTTCACACATGAGCTTCCCTCTCCCTCCTCTCTGCCTTATTGAAAGAACCCACAGGGGAAGCATGGGCTTTTCTGGGCTACAGTTTCCTCCCAGGAGGCTTTGCCTTTTCCTGTTTCTTCCTCATGTCTGTCTTCTCCAATTTAGGGAAACCAGAGCAACCCAGTGTACCCAGTCCTTTGTAATGATATAACCAACAAGACTCGTTGTCTTAAACTGTCTCCCTTATGCCCACGCCAAGTCAACTGTGGATTCAGGCACTGGCTTCCCTCCTGCTCTCCAGGCTCCCCTGAGCTCCAAACCTTCTACTCCCACATCTACGTACAGAAGCCTGCACTGTTTTCCGGCTGAGCCTGGAAGGAGGCTCCAAGTTTTGAACAATGTCTTGTGTCTGTTTGGGAAGACAGAGTAGGGGTGCATGGACACGTGCATTCCTACCTTTGGGGACAAATGAGGGAAAGGGAATGGCTCAGTCCTTGTCTCTCTGGGGCTCACAGAGTCTCATCCTGGGCCTCGGTTTCCCCCTGTGGGTCCGAGTGAACGGGAACATGGGACCAGATCTTTGAGCCAAGCCTCTTGACCTGTGCATCTCTGAGGAAGTCCCTTGTTTGGAGGCTGGGTCCTGGCCTTATCCTCTGATCTGGATGGCTTCCTCCTTCCTCCCCCTGACTCCTGGGCTGGGCTGTGGACTCAGTCTCCCAGCAGAATCCTTTCTGTCTCTGCTTCCCCCACCCGAGACCCTCACTGCTCTGCACCCCCATGTAGTCAGGTCCCCTCGACAACTCCAGAGGACCTTCATCACAAGCCGCCGCCTCTGTAGGTAGCCCGGGTTCTTATTTGCATTTTTGTTTTTTTTCCAGAGGGGTGAGCAGGGATCCTGGTTTCAATGACGGTTGGAAATAGAACTTTCCAGAGATAGGAAGACTGGGTGGATTTTATTTCAGAATACAAAATGGTGTGTGTAAATACTGTAATTAAAGTGATACTGAGACACATCTGTTCTGTGTAGCTGTCCCAGCCAGCTGTGTCTGAATGCCATGGAGGTGTCTCGGTCACACCAGGCTGGACTTTGCGATGATATGGAGCAAGGGGGGAGGGCAAGCTAGGAAAGAGGTGGGCCCATTTCAGGGGATACAGGCAAAAACCAGGGTGCTGTTCTTTGACCAAGTCTCCCTCCACGCGGGGAGTTGGAGGAGGCTTACGGAAGGGCAAGATGTTTCTAGTCCTAGAAAGAAAGACCAGACTAGAGTGCAGCAGGGGCCCTCAGGATGGGGGGGGGGGGCGGTGTGCGGAGGCACAGGACCTGGGGCCTCTGTGAGCACATCTCAGAGAAGTGGCACACTTTGGTCCCTGTACAGCAAAAAAAGCATGAGCAAGAGAAGGAGCCCCATGCCCATGGATTACCCCACCCTCTCCACTCCGAGCTGGGAGCAGAGCAGGGGAGGCTGGTGTGGACAGCTTCTGCTCTAGAGACCTGGGGGCCAGCTCCAAGAGGGAGTGGCTTCTGCCTTCAGCACTAAGACACCAGCCTCACTGCAAACACATCTGCAAGGGCAGCCCCCAGACGACCCCTGCCCCCATAGGAAGTGGGGGAGGGAGCCCTGCCAGACACTGCACAGTAGCTTCAGGAAACACTCCCAAGTGTGTCAACAGTGGCAGAGGCAGTTGGGGCCAAACAAAGGATCCTTCCATTCTTATCTGGCCAAAGCCAGACCTTTCCCTTTAGCACTCCCCCACCCCAACTTCCCCCCAGATGTTCTCCAACTGCTTTCACCACAGGTTCCTCTGCAGGACTCAGGGGGCAGGGTCAGGGGTGAAGGGACAAAGAATGAGATCTAGAACTTTCCTTAGAAGGTGAGGCTGACCCTGGGGGGTGGCAGGAAAGGGAGATAGTCATCTGTCTTCTGACCAGACCATTTGACCTCCATCTAGTCACGTCCCACCGTGAGAGTGACCCGATTGGGTCTGGCAGGTTGTGGAGGGCAGGGAGAAGAGGTGTACAGGGTACAAGCTCCTGGGAAAGGTGGGAGGAGGAGAAAAAGCACCTGGGTCTTTGAAACTTGTCCAGCCTCAGGCCCAGCAACCTGCTATCATTTTTTTACCCTGAGTCTGTCCACAGATGTAGGCTTTGGGAAGTAGGGGTGAAGTAGGGGCGTGTGTGTGTGTCTCTGTGTGTGTGTGTGTGTGCGTGTGCGTGTGCGCGTGTGTGTAGAGGGTGTCGTGGCAGCTAGTTCTCCTGGGTGGCTGGACAGCTTGCTCTGAAGGACTTTGTTTAAAAATCAAACTTTCCCACCTTTGGCCTGAACACCCTAATGCAGCAATGGCTCCACCTGCTGGCCATGCTGGGCTCCTACCACTCAATTCACTTCCCTTTTTACCATGTGGGGGTTCTCTTCTCCGCTGCCTCACCCTTAAATAGTCCAGTAGGTCTCATACATGAGGCTCATACAACTATGAAAAGTCACCGCTGAAGAGGATTTTAGAGACACATGCAACTGAACTCCCTATGTCACATTAAAGACAAACTAAGGCCCAGAGAGGAGACGTGGCTGGCTTGCCCAGATGCCCTGGAACTCCGGTGTCCTGCACCCGAAGCTCTTCCCTTCATCCTACTATCCCATGCTTCCACCAGGGTTCAGGGTTCCTCCAGTTAGATGTCATGAGGATGGCGAGGGCAGGGTCAGAATAGGTTTGGGTCTTCACCTCTAGAGCCTTTTATCCACATGTGTTCCCATGCCTGGATAGCCAAGCAGGTCCTGGGGTCTTGGGACAAAGCAGAGACTGAAGACCATGGGAAGCTGTGAGGCTCAGCTCTCACTGCTGTGCCCATAGCCCAGAGAATGAACTGGAGTGTCACACAGTCTGCTGTGGAAAGCATACCCAGAAGTGTCTTCTGCCCAAGTTGCATCTGAATGGATAAACACAATTGTCCTCTGAGTCTGGATATGTGGGACATCCCCATTCCATCCCCTCCAGGTAGATTAACCTCACACTTCCTCTTCACGCACATCTGGTAGCAGGTAAGCAATATTGGGCAACAGGATGCTGCTTCTCTTCCAAAAGCCCCCACCCAAGGAGTTCATGGCCAACCTTGATTCATTCCAAAAGTCTCACAAAACACACCCTGCTGGGGATTGGCCCTGTTCCAGGGGCTGGGGACAGAGCAGGAACAAATCCATGCAGAGCTTACGATTCTGGTGGAGAAGAAAGGCAGTAAGAAAACACATTTATCTGAGTAAATAAAGACCTATGTTTTCAGGTTGTACGAAGAGCTATGAAAAATACAAAAGATTGAGAGGGATGGTCGGTACTTAGCATATGGTGGTCACTCCCACGGAGATGAGAATTGAGAGCATAGCTCACTCGAATGAAACGAGGGAGAGATCATGCCATGCAGGGGAGATGGCAAATGCAAACTTCTGAAGGCGGGCAAGAAGGTAGCCAAGGCAACATCAGAGCCAGTGCAGGGGGCTCAGCGGGCCAGTCCCAGTAGGCCTTTTAGGCCTCGGTAAGGAGTTTGGCTCTTAGCTAAAGATGGGGAACCACTGGAAGGTTTTGAGTAGAGAAATAATATGAGCTGACTTGTGTTTTTAAAGGGTGAAACTGGTCACTGAGTAGAGAATGGGGGTAGAGAGGTGAGAGAGCGGAAAGGAGGGGGACAGGTGGGCTGATCGTAGCCAGAGCAAGGATCACAGTTGGGAGCTGGGTGAGAACAGCGGAAATGGAGCAAAGAGGTCTTGAAGGTCCAGCTAACAGGGCTTGGTCTCTCTGTGTATTTCTTCAAATACCAAAATTTAAACAGTGTATTTTGTTTAATATTCACAGAAACCCAATGAAGCAAGGACTCTTATCTCAGGAAACAAAACTGAGTTTTCAGAGTAAAGGGAGCTGTGTTCAAGGCTCAGGGGGCAGAAGCAAAGACGAGTAAGGTACAAGTTTATTGGAACCCACAGAGTTTTAGATCTCGAAGAGAATACGATCAGTACCTTTAGATAACAACACAGTAAAGTGCAAGGAAGGAAGTGAGCAGTAACACACCAAGTGCCGGGCCCCAGAGACTAATTGTGTTGAATAGGAAAGAGAGAACCACTGAATAGTTCCCATTTATTCTTGATTTATTCGTTTATTCAACAACTCCCCCCACTTTTTTTTTTTTTTTTGGAGTGTTCATTATAAACCAGATACGATGCCAGGCACTTGGGATAAGATACAGTCTCTTTTGTCATGTTTTTAGACTGGTGAGCACGAGGGGGGGTGCAAATGACAGAACAATTAGCATTGAATCTAAGTGATATGGTGAAGGATACTTTGAGTGGAAGGGGCATGGCTACCAGGGAAGGCTTCCCAGAAGAGGTGACATTCAGGACAAGCAGGGTTTTAAAAGAAGACATTAGAGATCATTGTTCCAGGAAGAGCAAAGTGAGGGTAGTCATTCCGGAAATACAAGGGATTCTTTTCGAGTCCAAGCAGAGAATATGATTCTTCTTTGCATCTTGTATTTCTGTGCTGAGACTTTCTATTTGTTCTTTTATTTCAAGCACGTATACAATGGCTCATGGAAGCATTTCTATGATAGCTGTTTTAAAATTCTCATCAGATAATTCCAAAATCTCAGTCATCTCTGTATTGGTATCTGTTAATTATCTTTTCTCATTCAAGTTGAGATGTTTCTGGTTTCTTGGTATTACGAGTGATTTCAAATTGCTATCCTGATGTTTTAAGTACGAGGTTACAAGACTCTAGATTTCATTTCCATCTCCTGTTTTAGCAGACCCCATTTGATACTGCCCTGCTGGGGTGCCTCCACCTTTGCACCAGGGGGCGGCGACAGAAGTCTGGGGCCCCCCATTCAACTGTTTGTTCCTGCTGGGGTGGGTGCCCCGTTATCCTTGACCCAGAGTGGGAGTTCAGGCTCCCTCTGTTGACGCCACCCTGATGACGCAGCATCCTTTGAGTCATGAGGTCCCTCCCCTGCTTCACTTTACCTTTCAGAGTCTTCTTACTTTTGTGTTATATATACGATCCAGAGTTTTTAGAAGTACTGAGCCCGAGGACTAGGAAGAGGTACATCTGCTTCATCTTGTCTGGAGCCGTAATTTCATGCAAACAAACATGAAGGAGGAAGGGCCAATCCCAGGCCGCGAGGCTGGAGTGGTAGGCAGGTTCTAGAAAGCTGTCCTCAAAGCCCTCTCACACAAAGCCCTCTCTCTGCCTGCCTCTCTGCCTACTTGTGATCTTTCTCTCTCTGTCAAATAAATAAATAAAATCTTAAAAAAAAAAAGGAAATTAAATCAGGGAATTTTTTAAAGTCTTTTTTTTTTAAAGATTTTATTTATTGGTTTGACAGAGAGAGATCACAAGTAGACAGAGAGGCAGGCAGAGAGAGAGAGAAGCAGGCTCCCTGCTGAGCAGAGCGCCCGATGCGGGACTAGATCCCAGGACCCTGAGATCATGACCTGAGCCGAAGGCAGCGGCCTAACCCACTGAGCCACCCAGGCGCCCAGGGAATTTTTAATTACTCAGTAATTCATTTAAAAATGATCATTTTCTCCTTATGTGAGTAGACAACTAACCTACCCATTCATGAAAATTAATGATATTTTCAAAATAAAAACACTGAATGAGAAGAGGGATGTTGTTTTACACGTTAGCCCATCTCTTCAGTATCTGACTCAGTAGAACACTCCTGACTCCCTTTGGGTCGGTGTTCAGTCTGTTGTCACGTTATGTGTCACGTGGTCTCTGGAAAACTACGGTGTCTACACTTCAGAGAGAAGAAAAGTGGAAAATGGCAAACCATATTTTTTAGCATTATTGCAAAAATAGTTTTGATCCCAAAGACCTCTTGGAAATGTCCCAAGGACCCCCAGGGGACAGTGGATCATACGTGGAGAGCTGGGGCTCTAGAATTATCCTTTGTCCGTGGCCGTGGCTGCTGAGTACAGAAGATGTGGCTCTTATGAATCAGGAACAGAACTTCCCATTTATTTCATCTTA